GGAATGCAGGAGCGTGTGTTTGAGGCAGACAGACAACACTGGGGGAGATTCTGCTGAAGAAGTATGTCTTCCTAAGGAGGAATTAGGCATTGATTTAAGAAGAAATGTTGGAACTAGGTTTTATCTTTACCATGTTATTTCAGGCAAGATCAGACCCTAAAGCTGCAGAGCAAAAGATGTATTACAGTGAGGTCACTTCTAGAAAAGAGCTGTGGGAATCAAGGGACCCCTAGAACCCGGTTTTGTTGTATAAGAGAGCTGCCAGAACAGAAATCCAGAAGCATCCCATGAGGAAAGCACAGAGTGTGCAGGACCCCTGCATTCTTTTCAGCCATGTCCTCTATGGGGCAAAACATCTGAGGACAGCAGGTGGTAAAATTATGCAGTAAATCACATATCTTTTAATAGAACAAATGCCTCGAATCATGCTCTTACGCCCCTCTTCCATTGGCATTTATGTTGCTGTGACTCTTCAGTGATCAGTCCAGAACCTTTTCCTTGGCTGCTGAAATATTGGCAGCAGACTTTTGTATGGTGCTATGATTTTTGGCTTTGCCAAAGCTTGTATCTCTAGTTCATAGGGTGCCTTGTGGCATACAGCTTTTGGAAAAGCAGTTGGATAGTAGATGGATTGTGATATGGCCCATATGTGTTGGACAGGCCTGAACATGCCTTTTCTTTTTCCTTTTTCTTTTAACCAAATATCAGACTTCTGTCTGACTTAGAGGACATGACAGGGAAACACTGGGAACTCTTTGAGAGCTCTTTGTCCCCAGTAACATGTCTTTGAAAAATCAGGATAGCTTGGTTTGATCTCTCTTCAGTCAGGGACATCACCTGTTGCTGTGGAAAGCTGCTGTGTAGCTGTACAGAACCTCATGTAAATATTCCCAGTGGTGGTGATGTCACTAAAGTTTGAGCCTATGGCTTTTAGCATGTTCTTGCTCACTGTCCAAGGTGGTACTGGAAGTGGTTTTGGTTGGGTGGCTGAGCTGACTCCAGGCCTGCCTTCCCAGTAAGTGAGTCTGCTCCAGTCTGTGGATAACTGCTGTCAGTTTGCTGCACTACACTTTTTTTCTCTTGCATGCATTTGTAGTGATACGGGAACATCTCTTCTTGTTGCTGTCCCTGCAGGAAAGTCTATAAAGGCTGCTCAGGTGTGCAGGACAGTAGAAGAGAATATGTGGTAGTGAGCAGAATAGGCTCAGCCAGGGGTGGGTTGAGTTTGAGGAGCAGAGAGCTAGACTAAAAAAAATAAAGCAACAAAGTTTGAACAAAGAAAAATGAGATGTGAGGAGAAGACAGCATACAATAGGATGGCTTTTCTAAACTATACAATATAAAAATGTAATGGCTCTGTCGTCATAGAAGCTTCTCAAATGCTTACAAAGAATCTGGTCTGTGCCTCAACTGGTACGCTAATAAATGCCTTTGATGACAAATGACATAGACATTTGTGATTTCAGAAGTGTGTTCCTCTGAAGTCAGCAAGGTTGAAGGAGTAGGCAGTGTCTTTTTTTCCACCTTTTCTTGCCAAACTCTGTCAAAGAATAGTCTTGTCTATGTTGCAAGCAGGAACATAGAAATGGCTGTAGCAGATTGGGACTGAGCTGCACATCAGTGTTCCTTGTTGTAGAGTATTCAATGTCAAATGCTTCAGAACAGGCTTTTTATATTTTGCCTGTGTATAAAGTTTCTTCAAAACATGAGCTGGTTAGTTGGACTGGATCCCTAGGCTTAGCTGTTAGATCCTTTAAAATTTCATCTCATGACTGTGAGAACTATCCCGCCTATCCTGAACTGTGAGCACCTTGATTATCTGTAGACTTGGTTTGTTTTGTGGATGTTTCTATACTTAGCTGTGTATTTATCATCCCTGAATGTCAGACTACATAGCTGGGTGCACGTACACTGTTATTTTCTTAGTAGCTTTCTGCAGTTTGTTAATTGGCTGTTCTTTCATGTATTTTTATTTTTTTTTGATAGCATGTTTGGTGAACATTTTGGTATGTGTTATCCTTCCAAGAGCTCTCAGCACTTCTTGTCTCTTCCCTTTTCAGATGGCAAGTTTGGTGCCTACATGCAGGTACACATCCAGAACGATGGTCCTGTAACAATAGAACTGGAGTCCCCAGCTGCCACTGTTGACCCTAAACAGGTAAGTGACCCAGAAGGTGTGTCTGGAAAGAATGATGTATATCCTCTGCAGATTTGTAGCATTCTTGTTATGAAGCAGTATAGCTTTCCTTAGGCAAAAGGACCTCGTCCTTCCTGTGCAGCCTCTGGAAAGTAAATAATTCATTGTTTTCTTCAGTTCCCTGGCCTGTTGATAGCTGCCTAATGTCCTGGTAAAGGTTGTGCATGTGTAATGCAAAAAAACTTTTTACAATTTATTCCTCATCATCATTAAAGCTGCTGTTTAATCATGACCCATTAATGATGTTTTTAATGTGTCTGGACAACCACCCCTGCCTGCTTTTAGTGAAGTTTGTTGCCATGTAGGAGTTTGTGTATGTGGGTGACTGGATGGAACTGGAGACATGCCTTGCCTCTTTGTCAGAAAAAAGGGAACAGCAATTTAAGTCCCAAATTTAAGTCTGGAGTGGAGAGGAGAGTTAGCTCTTCTTAAGAACAGCACAAGTTATGCTGCAAACCAAATGCAGTAATGAGGTTTTCTCATCTTCTAAACACAACAGTGACTTTTCCAGCCTGAAAGAGAAGGGGGAGGGCTTGTTATTACCAACTGTGCCTCAGCAAGGCCACACCAATCTTATTTGTATAACACTTCACTTAACCTTGTTAAAATTGTTACTGCAGTTTATAAGAAGGGCACGAGGGAAGAACTAGGAAACTACAAACCTGTTCATCTAACCTCAGTACCTGGAAAAATTATGGAGAAGATCATACTGGGTGCTGTTGAAAGGCATTTAAAGAACAATGCAGTCACCAGGCACAGTCAACATGGATTCAAAAGGGAAAGTCCTGTCCAAATGATTTGATACCCTTCTACAATAAGGTCACCTGCATAGTGGATGAAGGGTAGGTGGTGGATTTAGTTTTTCTGGGTTTTGGTAAGGCTTTTGATACTGTCTCTCACAGCATTCTTCTCAACAAGTCCTCCAACTGTGAAATAAGCAGATACACAGTGAAGAACTGGCTGAAGGGCAGGGCTCAAAGGGTTGTAGTCAGTGGGGCTACCTCTGGCTGACTATCAGTCACTGGCGGTGTTCCTCAGGGTTTAATTATAGTACCCCTTCTGTTCAATATATTTATCAGTCTGGATGCAGGAGCTGAATGCACCGTTAGCAGATTTGCTGATGATACCAGACTGGGAAGTGCTCTTGACTCTCTTGTAGGACAAGAGGCCTTGCAGAAGGATCTAAATAGTTTGGAGCGTTGGGCAGTCATCAGTGGCATGACATTTAGCTGGGCCAAATGCTGGATTCTGCAGCTGAGACAGAACAGTGCTGGACAAAAATATAAACTGGGAGAGGGGTGGCTGGAGAGCAGCTCTCCAAAAAGGATCTGGTGTGGGGGGCTGGCCAGTAGCAGGCTCAGTAGGAGTCAGCAGTGTGTGCCTGAGCAGCCAAGAGGGCAAACCCCATCCTGGGGTGTATCAAATTTAAACAGCCAGTCTAAGGAGGTGATTAGCTGTAATTAGTATTGGTGCAGACTCACCTTGAGCATTGTGTGCAGTTCTGGGCCCCACGATTCAATAAGGTTGTTCAGGTACTTTAAT